GCTATACAAAGCAAAAAACCAAAATTTAAACAATAAGTGAACTATTTTATTAGACTGCAACTTTTTTTTAACCTTGTAAATAAAAATATCTCTTTAGAAATTTTTCCCTATGTGGCATTTGAACTTGTGTAGTGGGTTTTTTTGTTTGGTTGTTTTTTTTTTTAATCAAGAACTTCATGATAGCAGTGAAGAATAGTTTCCAAAGGTGCAGAGTGGCCATGGGAACTTGAGTATGAGGATGAACATTTTAAGTCATGCTTTCATCCTTGCACATATTCTTTCTCTTCCTTGGTAGTTGCAAAGGAAGGGCTGCCTCAGTGGTTCTTTGCAGGTCCTGGGTTTCTCATACTAAGTAGTTTTTGCATTGTATATTTGCCTGTGTAGCTAGTTGTAGTTCAAGATGATTCTCAATTTCCTAAGCTTCTTGTTGGTCATCCTAGTCTCTTGTATCTGTAGTTTGCAGGTGTAGTGGTCCACTTGTCCTACCTACATTTCCTGTGTGTAATCCTGATGAGCTATTTGGGACTGCCTGTGTTGGTGAAATGTGTGATTTAAGACACTTGGTTAAACAGCTGGGCTGGAAAAGAAGACATTGGTCTCAGATTTAAGTTAAAAACTCTACATTTGCAGGTTGTTGCTTTGCAGCACTGTTTTTCTTGTAATTTAGTGTGAGCTTTGGATCTGATTTGGCATAAGTGCTAAATAGAGTGTGCTACTTAAATAACAAATTAAAGTAATCTTCCATTAACACAATTGCATTTTTGTATTTGTGAATATGTCAGAGCTGGTGCATTTCTTTGGTCAGATAGATTGTTTGTTCTGAATTTATTTGCCCTATAAAGATTAGTTAAAATTACTGCACATTAGAAGCAGAACTGTTTTCCCTCACGTTATTTAAATTATGGAAACTACTTGATATAAGAACCATTTTTTTTTTTCCCTTCTCTTCTTCTCTTCTCTCCTTAAAATTGAGACTTACCACAACTTAATTGAACCATATAGTATGAAATAAAGTAGCCCAAGCCATTCAACCCATCTCTATGTAATATTAGGTTAATTTTTTGCTCTTCAGTAATGTAGAGTCTTGAATAGAATGTGTGCTTTAATGTAGTTAATAACAAACTGTGATAATAAAGAAAAACTGAGGTAGCTAATTTAGAGAATTTCTGTGAATTATTCAAAATCCACTTCAGTATCTTCACTGGATTTCTATACCTCAACTTGTGCACACCAATATTGCTTTCAGGTTGCATTAGGCTTTTTTATGTCTAGTAATGAGGAGATGAGTTTGTTTTCAAACATCTGCTGCATTTCAGAAGATGTGGATTTGTTTATTGCTGTTGCTAATAGGCTGACAAAAAAGATCTTGCTCCTTGAAGTGAGATTTTAATAAAAGCTTCCTGTGACTTGTCACTTCTCTTATTGTACCTGAGTTTAGTTCTTTTTTTCCTTTGTGCAAAGCTAAAAGCCTACCTGTAATACTAAACTGCTTCACCTTGCATTGGGAGCAGGTGGCCTGGAGTTCAGTAGTTCCCAAAGGAGAGAAATAACAGTTCAGTTCCAAAACTGTGCATGCAGAGTGCCAGAAGCCTGGCTCCACAGCAGTTCTACCAGCCACTTAATGCTAAGGTGTTGTGCAAGATTGTCTTTGAGGTTAGCCACAAATGACAGTCATGGATCTAACAACTGGCACCTTTACATGTTACTTTGTTTTGCTAGCTTCTATTAATTGTGTTCTTAAACAGAGCAAAATGTGTGTTTTGGTTTGAGAGTCCTTATTAGTTACATTGATTCTGGAAAATCAGGTTTTTGTGGCACTAGGATTGTTTCACTTTTCAAAAATATGGTGAAATGTGATTCCCAAACACATTTTAGAATGCAGCAGTGTGTACTTCAAATTATTGTAATTGAGCTGCATTCAGACTTGCTCTTTATTTAAATTCAACACAGTTCATGGAATTCAGTGAATGCTTTGACTGTCACCTCTGTGCTCAATACAAGGTCAAAAGTCTTAAGAAAAATGTTTCTTAGTGAACATCTGCTGCTTCAGTAGTGCTGCACCACAGATCTGTCATGCCTGTCACTTGGTGACTCTTTTCTCCTTTTTAAGAGATATTTTTTTTGTCATAGTCAACTTGGAAATGGTGCAGGAAGTTCAGCAGCAGTGGTAGCAGGTTAGAGAGGTTTGCTGTCATCAGCATATGCTGGGAAAAGTGGTGATCTGGTGGTTTGCACTGATGAGATGTATTTCATGCCTTGACCTTTTGAAACTGGTAATTACATTTATTCCTGTGAATATGGTTCATGGGAAGAAGCAGCAATTGCCTAAACTCAATTATAATTTAGTGTGGGGGAGGGCAAAGGCTTGAAATTCAGAGGCTGATTTTCTTTCCTGATTTGTACCAAAGTAAAGCATGGGTAACAGGGCATAGCACAGGAATCAGAACAGCTAAAATGGATCTAAAGAAAAGAAATGTCACCTTGTAGCCATCACCAGCAAAGAAAGTGCAAAGCCTGATTTTCTCCCAGCTTTTCTGACTGGCTTCCATGCACTTTGTTGAGGCATGAAGTACCCTTGATCAAAATGAAACAGGGCATGGTCTTGCTGGTCTAGAAACATTTATCAGAAGTGCAGAATCAGATGATACTATTCCTGACTGATGTTTATCTAATCTGCTCTCAGAAGAGAAGCCCAGGAGCAGAGAGCCCATGGTCTTCTCTGGAAATTGATTTTAGTTCTTCATTGTTTTCCTACTATCTTATTTGATTCTTCTTTTGCTGCTTGTTAAGCTCCTTTTTTCTGATCTTATTCCAGGTGGATGTAGAGAACAGTGTGTTATTTTCATGCCTTTGGCAACATTTTTGAATTTGATGGCAAATTTTGAGCTAGACTAAGCAAATGCCTTTCAAATGTCTTTTTTATCAGATTGTATGAAAGA